AATATTATAAACAGTACCAATCTCGTAGAAAAATATTTTTCATTTCATCAACAATTGGTCGCTGATGTTTTTCAGTTTGTGTAATTATTAGTGCAGCACCGGTACTACCACCTTCAAAATAGTCTCCAGACCAATTTGATGTTCCTAAAAACATTGTTGATACAAGAAAGGAAAAATTTTCCAGCAATTAATATGAATAAATGACACTAACCAAATTATATTTGTAATGCTTACCAACAATAACGGTATCGTCAGTTACAACGAATTTATTATGTGTTCGTCGTTCACGACGTAACACTGTCGCTAAGTCTAATGCTGTTGGTACTTTGAATATTTTCTGCAAATATTAGTCTTTCAGTTGTTGTACAATAAAAAAAAAAAGAAAACTAAACTGCTGATAAACTATTGATAGTAACTTACAGCGCTAATGGTACTTTTGCTAGTTGCACCATTTAAAGCCTCCAATGAGCTCAAAAACCGTAAACCCAGTCGTGGATGATGTAAAGCTGCAGCAAGTATTTTAACTTCAACACCTCGAAGTATAGCTCGTCGAATAGCATTGTCAATAACAGGCCAATATCTTGAAAAAAAAAACAAAGATAAAAGTTGACTAATTAATTCTAGATGTTTCCAAGAAAGCTTAAGAAAACGTTGATGTTTTCAAAAACAGAAAATGCTAAAGTATTAGTAGTTAAAAGAACTACTGAAACGGCATGATTGACAGATGCATACTTTCTTGGTTTAGCATAAATAAACATCGGAAAGTAGTCCATGACATGAATGTACAAAAATGTTTTGGCATTATCAATTGTTTTGGTTATTGCATGTAAATCCCATGTTCGACCAGGTCCATTAAGCTGTGGCGGAGATGTCTGTAAAATCTGTTCAAAGCTGACAAAAAAAGTTTAAAACTTATTAAAAGAAAGATTTTTTTTTTGTTTGATGTTGTATTACTCTATTTTTAGCACTAAATATTTACCTCATCTTAGAGGCAAATAATCTGTTTTTGTCATCTGCCTGGTGGCTTTGCATACATCGCAGACAGTGGCAATATTTCTTCGTCAATAAGGAATAGATAAAAAAATAGCAATTTTGTTTTTTGTCCAGCACAGGAAAATGCTGAAATTTTGGTTAGTTCCCCGTTATTTTTTTCTAAATTATTTTGCTTACCGCTAAGTATACAGATGCCGGACTGCCTTTAATCTGAATTACTAATGGATTTTCGCTGTTGAACATAGCCTTTTGTTGATTTTCGCGAAACTGTGCGTTAGCTTTAGCATTTGGTTGCGTGAGTGTCCAGTAGGCACCGAATACATTACTGAGTTCGGTAGCAAGACATGGACATGATTTAACCAAAACACCCAGTTCCATTTTCTGTAATTTATTTGCTCTTTAATCGATCAGATATTGATACTGAATGATGTGGTATTTTTAGAATTCTAGAAAAAGAAACGCTTTTTGTGCTCCAAAAAATTATGAGTAGTTTTAAAACAAACCTGATTTAATGATCGCCAATCAAGATTTGCTGAACCAAGGTAAAAATTCTGTTTATCCGTTATAAGAAATTTTGAATGCATAGTACCTCGTCCCAAAATTTTTTGAAAATTCAAATATCGTCGAGTTGCAATTCCTGTAACTAATGTATTTAATTTATAATAGTCTAAGTTAAAATAGAAAAAATAATTTTTAGTGATGATATCTGTCGTAACTGATTATTAGTTTCCACTGACAAAATGATATTAATAAGAACCTGTTTCGGCAAGTGCAACAGCATCTGCATTATCGCCTTTGTCTTTTGGCGGATAATTTTCAACAATTTTGATGCTTAAGCCTCTGTTTAAACCACTGTCCAATAGTTTTTTGAAAATTTCTTCGCCCTGCAATAACAGTTTCTATATCCGAGTATTCAACAAAATTTTCATTAACAGTTCAGTAAATTATAAGATTATCTTCAGATAAAAAAACTAATAAAATTAGAATGGTCTTAAGATATTAGTTAAATTTTAACTGATTAAACTGGTTAGTTTATTATACATTTTCAAGCTTTTTCCTTTACCACAGTAAAGTAACAGTGGTAGAAAAGCCGTGGTTTTTTTCTTCACTAACTTTTCTGGAAAATGACTGATTTTGATCACCGAATACATGAATGCCACGAAGACTGGATTTGTAGGCAGCAATCAAAATTTCACTTTTTGATTCAGAAACTAGTGAATTCCAAGCGTCGTATGTTGACCTTGGCAACGGTATATCACCAAAAGAAATATTTTCTGGTATACTTTCAACAATCTCTAATCTGAAACTAGATGATCACATAAATACAATTAGTGTTACAGTAAAACAGAGATACAAATTTTTTTAGGTGATCAGTGCAATCAGTTTTTGTTTCCTTGTTCCGTTGAGATCAACTGATGATCATCAAAGTTTGATTCACTTATTCACCGTCGATCAGCAGTTTAAATTTACCACTCATTTATTATCTGATGCTGGTTTATCTACGGTTTTATTACACAGCAGTTCTTGTTCTTCTCAATATTACTTTTCTAGATAAATGTTTGTTTTTTTTTCTGTGATTGAACACTGAAAATAAAGATTTAAAAAAATAAAAATTTTTAATAACCTTGAAAAGCATATCTTTTGGATTTTCATAAACTGCTCATTTTTGATAACTTTTATATTTGAAAGTAGAACAGAAAGTTTTTGATTGAAAATAAGCATTTTCTGCTACTATTGATAAGAAAACTATTCTGTTCACTCAGTAAATGTCACATGATCTAAAAATGAAATTCAAGGAGAACAAGGAAGACGAGAGATGAGAAAGGAGAAAAATTATGACTAAATTTACTGATATTTTGCTACATTCCGACCTAATCAGCTGAACTGTTTCACGGCTGATCAAAAGTCAATTGTGCATTTTTCAGTAAACTTTGTTTTTTTTTTCGTTTAACACTAAATCTAAAATTTTAATAGTTCTGAACTATAGAAGTTCAAAAACGTCACAACGCCATTCATTGTGACTGATAACACCAGTTAATAAATCTCAAGAAATAATGATGTTCAGAAGAACTCACGTGCATGTAAAAGAGCACCGTTGTATTTCTGTACTCAGATCCGACTTTTTCCGTTTACTCGTTAAACTTTCTTGCATATCTGTTAACAGATACAGCGACAGTGATGGAACAATCAACACTGTGAACAACTAAAATGGTTCATTAAGAGTTTGCAAATTTTGATTTTCGTTTTATTTTTTTTTCATTTTTTTTATTTTGTTTTCTCTACGCAGTTTAATAAAAACTAGAATTCAATATCCTACTACAATACTTTTAAAGAAAAGAGTAAACTGATAAATCACTGCTCAAACTGTATCATTGACCAGAAAAATGGCTTAGGGCTAATAAACAAAGATAAACGAAACAGCATAAAAAATTTAGAAATGCAAACGAAAAACTTTTATCACCCTTAATAATGCTCTGTTTTTTTCTACTTCAATGTGTTCATCGAATCGAAATAATCCTTTTATAATATTCCATGGCCTATATTGTTCTTCAAAATTGTCGTCCTTTAACTTTGTTTGCATAATGATGTTACTGCTGCGATTTTGTTACTATTCTTATTTCTTCTTTTTTTTTTTTCACTTTCTAGAAAACAAGAAAGATATAAAACCTATCAGTTTTTTCCATGCACATATATATATATATATGAATATAATATATATGTCTTTTAATTGAGTTGCACGAACGCATAAAAAAGCAATCAGTGTTAAAGAAAAAGCGTAAATAAAAAAAAACAACAAAAATACTTCTATACAACAATCAACTCAAAGAATACGTTAAAGATAAAATTTTTTGCGTTGGAAGATCAATAGTTAATGCTGGTTGCTCGGAAGACGATAGGATTTGGTTTATGTCAGCTGATCCACTGGAAGTATAACTCCTCCAGCAGCACCAAAATATTGTTATCATCATCACCGCTAATGCTAACCTAACCACTAACAGCAATATCAATACTTATCCATACAGACCATTATTTATTATCAGAATTAATAACTGAAAAACAAAAAACAAAATAAAATTTTTAGTTTCAATAAACAAACTTTAATTCATAAAAGATTTCGTTAAAAGTTGAACCGAGAAGAATCAAGTTACCACCAATTGGCGTCTGAAAACAACGTTCTTCTAATACTTCTACTCAAAGTTTAACTGCCTATCAAACACACAGTTTAACCATCAAGCACACTTTATTCACTCCTGTTTGAACATTAGCCAAATTGATTAAATCATCCGCACAATTTCTTATCTTTTAATTATTTGCTACTAATTGAATTGATAATAGATTTTGCAACTTGACTACCTTATTACATTAAAACAGCTTTTGAAAAAATTTTGTGTAGTTAGCTAGTTTTTTTTTCTTATTTTCAAGAAATTAAACTGGGGTTAAACTAGGCATACTAGCTGGTATCGCATTTTAGGAATCTTCTGCTCAATTTTTTTAGCCAACGATAAAACAGATTTGTAAAAAAGTTAAAATGCAATAAAATTCTTGACAAGTAGGCTTGCAAAAGTGAAAATTAGACCGGTGATAGCGACGATAATGGCGAAATACGGCTAAAAAAGAGGTTAAAAGAATCGGAAGCAAAGCAGGCACTAAAATACTGAACTGCAAACAATAAACGCCCAAAATCATCGTTTCCGTTTTTTCGAAATTGACAGCCGATTCGGAAGAGACAAAAATAGCAGCAAAGACGGAAGAAAACCGATTTATTTTTATTTTTTACAACAAATATTTTCCACTAAATACTTTGCCTCATCCAACGGAATTCGTCTCTGACGTACAGAAAGTAAAATTTCATCAAAAACATTTTGGGTGGCGTTTCAATACAGCAGTATCAGCAGCAACAGCAGCAGCAACAACAAAGAAGACAACAGAACTACAGTTTTTTTTTTTGTGCTGTTAAAACTTCAACAGAAATAACAAAATCAAAAAAGAAAAAAAACGTCAAAAAAAATTTATACTTTTATAAACATTTAATTAACTTAAAAATGGAAAAGATTCTAGTTCAAGCTGATAACAATAAGAAGGTTAAACTTTACGAAATTCATCTTCCGTTTTCGTTATACCGTTGCAACACACACACACACACAGAATTCACAGAACATTGCTTGGTTCAGCTGATAGAAAGAACAAAAAATTTAAAGTTTTTTCTGATTACCATACAATCTGTCCCTTTTTTAATTTTTCTTTTTAAGAAATTAACAAAACAGAAAATTAAAGAAAAAAAAGAAAAAAAAAAAACAGCTGCAGAAAGAAGGCAACAACAAACAGCAGAAGACAAAATGTACAGACGAATTGAGTGAGGGTATCTTCAATGTTCGTTCCTTAAGCCAAATAAATTTATATATATATATATATATATATATATATAT